CCAGACTCATCAAGAAAAAAAAAAGAGAGAACCCAAATAAATAAAATCAGAAATGAAAGAGAAGTAACAACTGACATCAAAGAAATACAAAGGATTGTAAGAAAATGTTATGAACCAATATGCCTACCAATTTGACAATCTGGATGAAATGGATACATTCCTAGAAATATACAATCTCCCAAAATGGAATCTGGAAGAATTAGAGAATCTGAATAGACAGATTACAACTAGTGAATTGAAGCAATAATCAAAAAACTCACCCCCAAATAACTCCTGGACCAGATGGCCTCACACAAGTTAATTTTATCAAACATTCAAAGAAGAACTAATGCTTCTCAACTATTCCAAAAAGTCAAGAGGAGGGAAGTCTCCCAAGCTCATTTTACAAGGCCAGCATTAACCAAATTCCAAAAACAGATAAAGGTACTATAAAGAAATAAAAATTATAGGCCAATATCCCTGATGAACACAGATAGTATAATCCTTAACAAAATATTAGCAAATTGGATCCAGCAATACATTAAAAAAATTATACACTATGATCAATTGGGATTTATTCTGGGAATGCAAGGTTGTTACAATATCTGCAAATCACTAAATGTGATACACCATGTAAACAAAATAAAGGATAAAAATAATATGATCATATCAAATAGATGCAGAAAAAACATTTGATAAATTCTAGTACCTACTTATAATAAAAACTCTTAGCAAGGTGGAAATAAGAGGGAACATACCTCAACATAATAGAGGCCATATATGACAAACCCACAGCCAACATCACACTCAATGGGCAAAAACTACAAGCATTTCCCTTAAGATCAGGAACAAGATAGAATGTCCTCTTTCATCACTCTCATTCAACATGTGGAAGTCCCAGTTACAGTGATCAGACAACAAGAAGAAATAAAAGGCATCCAACTGGGAAAGGAAGAAGTAAAACTGTCACTATTTGCAAATGATATGATACTGTATATAGAGAACTCTAAAGATCCCACCAAAAAAACTACTAGAACTGATAAATGAATTCAGTATAGTAGCAGGATACAAAATAAATATCCAGAAGTTGGTTGCATTTTTATACACCAATAATGAACTATCAGAAAGAGAAACGAAGAAAACATTCCCATTTATAAAGGTATAAAAAACATACCTAGGAATAAATTTAAACAAGGATGTAAAAGACCTGAGCTCTGAAAATTATGATGCAGAAGAAAGAAATTGAAGAAGATATAAATAAATGGAAACATATACTGTGTTCATGGATAGGAAGAATTAACATTGTTAAACTACCCATATTACTCAAAGCAATCTATAGACTCAATGCCATTCCTATCAAGATACCAAAGCGTATTTCACAGAACTAGAACAAATATTCCAAACATATATATGAGTAGACATGGCAATCTTGAGAAAGAAGAACAAAGTTGGAGGAATCATGCTACCTCATATCAAACTATACTACAAGGCCATAGTTACCAAAACAACTGGCATAAAAACAGACATATAGATCAATGGAACAGAATAGAGTCCAGAAAAAAAACCCACCCACACCTTTACAGTCAATTAATATTTGACAAAGGAGGCAAAAGCCTACAATGGGGTAAAGACAGTCTATTCAATAAATGGTGTTGGAAAAATTGGGCACATATGTGCAAAAAAATTGAAACTAGACCTTCTTCTTACACCATACAAAAGAATAAACTCAGTGGATTAAAGATTTCAATGTTAGACTTAAAACTATAAAACTCCTAGAAGAAAACATAGGCAGCAAAATCTTGGATATTTCTTATTGCAATATTTTTTATGATATATCAACTTGGGCAAAGGAAACAGAAGAAAAATAAACAAATGGGACTACATCAAACTAAAAAGTTTTTGCACAGCAAAGGAAACCATCAACAAAATGAAAAGACAACCCATTGAATAGAACATATCCATCAGTGATATATGTGATAAGGTATTAATATCCAAAATTTTTAAAGAACCCATAAAATTCAACATCAAACAAACAATCCAATTAAAAAATGGGCAGAGGACCTGAATAGACACTTCTTCAAAGAGGACATACAGATGGCCAAGAGACATATGAATAAATGCTCAATGTCACTAATCATCAGAGAGATGAAAATTAAAACTACAATGAGATATCACTTCAGACCTGTCAGAATGGCTGCCATCAACAAATCAACAAATGACATGTACTAGCGAGGGTGTGGAGAAAAGGGAACCCTCATGCACTGTTGGTGGGAATGCAGATTGGTGCAGCCACTGTGGAAAACAGTATGGGGTTAACTCAAAAAATTAAAAATGGAACTACTTTATGACCCAACAATTTCACTTCTGGGAATATATCCCAAAAAACCCCGAAACACTAATTTGAAAGAATATATGCACCCCTATTTTCATTGCAGCGTTATTTAAAACAGCCAAGATATGGAAGCAGCCCAAGTGTCCATCAGTAGATGAGTGGATAAAAAAACAGTAGTACATTTACACAATGGAATACTCCACAGCCATAAAAAAGGAGGAAATCTTACCCTTTGGGACAGCATGGATGGACCTGGAGAATTTTGTGCTAAATGAAATAAACCAGGCAGAGAAAGACAAGTACCATATGATGTCACTTATATGTGGAATCTGATGAACAAAATAAAGCAACAAACAACATAGGAACAGTCTCATCAATACAGAGAATAGACTGACAGCTGTCAGAGGGGAGGGTGTTTGGGGGCTGGGTGAAAAAGATGAAGGGATTAAGCAAGAAAAAAAAAAAAACTCGTGGACACAGACAACTGTATGGTGATTACCAGAGGGAAAGGGAGGTAGAGGGAGGTAGAAGAGGGTGAAGGGGGCATAGATGGAGATGGAAGGAGACTTGACTTGGGTGGTGCGCACAATATAATACACAGATGTTGTATTATAGAGTTGTACAACTGAAACCTATATAATTTTGTTAACCAATATCACCCCAATAAATTCAGTAAAAATTAAAAAAAAAAAAAAAGAGTAGCATTCACAGGGACCAGGCAGCAAGAGAAAAATAACATCATTCCATTTGACCCTCAAAAGTGTGGGTCCCTGAGTCATGCTCATTACTACACTGCCTGGTGGTCTGGGACTCGGATTTTAGTGGGTGGCGAGGACCGTGCCTAGCCGCAGGGGCAGAGCTGCCTCGAACCAGTACAAGTGTGCGGCTGGTGCTGGCACTTAAATGTGGCATATTAGAATTTCTGGACGGGATCAGGCTGTGTCACAGCTGACAACTATCACAGCTACCCTGCAAGGAGCTGTGAAGCATCGGGCAGAAATGAAAGATTCTTATCCAGCTTCTGAGTCCTTTTTGCTAGTGAGTTCCATACACTGGGACTTACTTCTGATGTATCCTTAATGGCATCAGCACATTCTGGAAAAAGTATAAAGCAGCAGTGAAATAGCTGGACTAGAAAATTACTTCTATTCTTAAAGTACACCCAGGCCAAAACCCACATGTACACATGGGAGAAAATCAGAGTGGTTCGTGCTGTGTTTTTACTTTATGTATTGTATCTCATCAGTGTCTCATTCATCCTGCTCGAGAGTAAAATATTCGAGGGTAGAGCTTTGTCAGATTTCCTTGTACAGAAAAAGAATGTTTTATTGAATATTCGTTCAAAGTACCGTCATCCATTAATTCACATTATCACAATACCCTTGTGAAGAGTTATTAGTCCTATTTGAAACTGAGGAGACAGAGGTGACTGAGTTAATGGGAGTCCGAACAAAGGCAAGGATATTATGGTGATGACGACAAGGCTTAAAGAGAGGCAGACGCTCGCTGCAGATCCACAGCTAGGCAGAGGTGGAGGCGGGACTGACTCCTTGCTGGCCCCGAGCCCTCTCTCCATTGTGCCCTGCTTTGCAGACAAATATGTTACATTGTAGAAAAGATATATGTGTAAGAGTTCCAGCAGCATCTTCTAACTGGAAGAGTAAAAAAGATGTTGCCTTTTCAGGCTGGCTTGAGAGGCCATGGTCTTCATAGTGGGCATGCCTGGCCATGCTCGTTTCTCATACATAATAACAGTGCATGGCTTCCCACATGAGTGACACTGAGCACCACAGGATCATTGACCCTTCTCACAGAGGCTCCATCACTGGAGGCTTCCAGGTTCCTCTGTCTCTGCTTTGCACGTGCTTCACCCCACATCATACCTCCTGGTCTCATTTGGTATTACTGGCAAATTCTCAAATTGATCACCTTAAGCCACGTAGGATGTATGACAACCTGTGAGAAAGCCACTTATGTTCAATTACAGACTTTTTTTTTTTTAACATGTCCATATTTTCTTTTGGGGTTTATCTGGAGAAGAGTTGAAAAGAACACATTGTGTGGGAGGTAAAATGCCTCATCTGGGAGGCATGTCTGGAGTTGCTGGTTGTGATTTACTGAAAAGAAAATGAAATTCATGTCCGCCATCCGTCTTGCTGCAGTGCCAGGCCGCGTGCAGCTCTGGCAGTAGGGAGGGACAATGGGGATCTCTGAAAACCAGCTGCTGGCCCTGTTGGTCTCTGATTTAAGAGCCATGTGTATGCTGCAGAGAAATAAAACTCCTGGGCAGACATTTCAGAATCTGGCCGTCTCATCTCTGCAGTGCAAACAATCATGGGCTCCATTGTCTCCAAAGACTTCACCTTCAAAATGCTCATTTATGTTCTTTTCTTTCTTTTTGACACAATTTCCCCTTTGGAATCAGGTTATTAAATCATTCTTCCCAAACTAATTTCTTTCACAGATAACTATAAAGTTGGATCCCGAACATGCTGCCGGATATTTTTTGACCTGAAAATCAAAAGCCAAACCCAAACACACACACACACACACACACACACCCACACACACACACCCACACACACACACACACACACACACACACACACACACACACACACACCCATCACTATGACCATCATTCCACCCAAACAAAAAGCCCTTTAACTTTCACCCAACGTGGCCTCACCTTTCCAAAGAAGTGCTGAGTGGACACGGCGAATGCCTGGAAGCCGGAGATGGCCCGTCTCAGCTCCGCCTGCATGAGACCCAGCTGCCTGGCCTGCTGCTCACTCCTCTCCTTCAGCCGCTGAACCAACTGCCGCTCGGCTTCGCGGGCCTGCAGGTCTGGTTTGGGGGAAAACCCATTTCGGGGAGCCGTGCTTCTCTGCTTGGGGTATCCTATTAAAAAAACAAACAGTCACCTATGAAAAAACACTCAGCTCAAAAGGGACAATAGCTCCTTATTACAGGATTTCATCAAGAGCAAGTGGCCAAAAAGGAACTGCCATGGCTTGTCATTGTAAATATTAGAAAAAACAGACAGGGCCTTCAAATATTTGCTCTGCCTATGTGGTTCTAAGTGCAAGTTTCATGCTTGGAAAAAGAACAGCCCAAATTGCCAAATTCCTTCCTAAGTCTGCTTAGAAAGACGGCAGCAGATGTTTTATCTTCAAGGGAATTACTCTTTGAAAACATCTAATAGGAAGTAAATCAATCAGTTCAGGTCAAAGTCATAGTTGTAACCTAGCAACCTTTTAATTGAGCATCAGGGAATACTGCCCACGTGCCCTTCCCTCCCTTTCTGCGGTCCTTCTAGTGACCCTTTCTTCGATGTCAGGTTCGAGTTACGCCTCTGATGACCTCTGATCCAGGGTTTTCTGGCTTTAAATTTCTACAGCATCAATGTCCTCCAAAACATTTCTACTACTCACACCACCATGTGACTACTCACACCACCTCCATGACTCAAGGTCCAGTCCAAGCCACCATGACCTGTCACCTGTCACCTGTCACGGGAAGCCCGGTTTCTTCTCATATTTCACTGCTGTGACCAGGATGATCTTTATAAGTATAAAACGGCTTAAGACCTGTGTGGACACCTCCCTCCAATTATGACCCACTGCAGTAAGAAAGTACTCCTTCATTCCCATGGCCCAGGAAGCCTCTGAGATCTGCTTCCTGCCAGGCAAACAGTAGGGGTGTGTATGGCG